CTCAAGTTGTATTAAGGTAAAGCAATGAAAAATAAAAATGTTGTACTCTTGCATTTAGGGATCGTCCTGTGAAATTTGCTGAAAGATCCAGACCTGGCGTTCAGATATCTTGTTCATCTTTCAGTTCTGGTAGGTATGGGAGTTAAAGGTTTTTCATGAATAACTAATTTTGGTAACAAGATTATCATTCTTAGTAATCTTTAAATACAATAAAATATCAGCTCTTTCTGGTATAAGAAGTTGTCATAAAGAAGATACAGAATCAGGAAAATAGGGCTGGAAGGACTGCTGCTCAAGGCTGGAACATCCTTGGCTAAACCATCCCTGACAAATGTACAGATTATGTATTTAGGAGAATTTAGATATTCTGTAGAACAAGGTTTACTTGCAAGTAAGGAATTTTTTTTTTTGAAAAAAAATTAAATATACAGTTAATGGGAATTTCTATGCTCAGTGAGGCTAATTCTTCAATAGAAAATCTAGAAGGAAAGATCTGTTTTGTCTTCCTTAGATGCTAATAGAGAAAATAAAAAATGTTGTAATTTGGAGGTGTTAATTTTTTATGGCCAGATTTTGTCTCCAGTCAGATATTTGTTTCACTCGCAATGAATTTCTCTTTAGAAACTGTATCCTTTTAAATTTCTGTATAATATTATAAACTCTTACCACAGCATTCTATAAAATATTACAATTTAGAACCTTTTTGTAATGCTGGCAGTGCTATAAAGTTTTATGTACACTGTAATTCATTTCTGGATTTTCTAGCAGTTGCATGTTTCAGGAAAAAAAAGAAACTTAGTATATAATGCTTAAGTTTTTATTGAAGCATCTGTCTAAATGGACTGCATCCCCACAAGCGGGAATGTGCATTTTCCCAGGGACAAATAGTAGCGGCACAAGTGCCACTGCTACTTTTTTCCAGGCATGCCTGTGCGCTCTGGCATGTGGCATATTGCCTTGGGTGGGATAGGGGAGGCTGGGGCCAGCACGTGAGCTGGTCCCAGCAGCCTTACCTGGGGTCCTGGGGCCTCCCAGGACTGCAGCAGTGGCAGTCTGTGAGCTCAGAGCCTGGCCAGCAGCTGGAGTGTGGCTCTGGCTGGCCAGGCTCCGTTTTCAGGTGGCACATGCTGCAGCCATGTGCCCCACCGTGCTACTTTGCTGCATTTTTTTCCTAGATGGCAGGAGTTCCCAGTATCTAATGTTCCCTTTCACGTGTGTTGCATGTGCTTTCGAGGTGCTGCAAAGCACACGCGTGCACTCTTCTGGGCATGCCCATGCTGTCCCGGTTTGAATAATTGATTTTGCAACTTGTATTGTGAGATCTATTTCCAAACTGGGAAATCAGAGTTCCCTTGACCTGTATCTCCTGCTGCTTTCTTATTTGTGACATTATCCAAGTTTATGTATTACATGGTTTCTTTTCTTTTTTCTCACAATGATATCCTCAGAGAGGAACTGAACCTGCTCCAGCCCTGGGGTACAGGAGTGAAGGTGGGTTTTCTCACTTAATGAACAGCTTTTCAATATTTTATTTTATGCCCTTTTGTTTCTTGTGTGGCCCATGCCATATTAATATCAAATGATGAGGCATAAAAAAAATATTGAATAGCTGTTCATTAACTGAGAAAACGCAGCTTCACTCCTGTAGCCCCAAGGCTAGAGCAGGCTCAGTTGCTGTATGAAGATGTTATGGTGAAAAATAAATACAGTGATTTATTTATTTATTTTTTTGTGTGTGTGCATTGAAAGGAAAAGTTGGAGCCCATCCATCTCATGCACTGACAGGCTGGAGCCCCACAGAAAAAAATAAGTGATTATGTAACTAGAGGTAATATGAAAGTGCAGGAATTATGTTGAATCCTACCTAGTCCCAGAAGGTGTTGATTAAAAAAGAAGCCAATGTTATTTTTTTATAAACAAGTTCTATTCCAGTGAAAATCCTTAGTGTAAATCTGGTAATTATGATACCTTAACCGTATGACATGGTCGAAGTCTGTAACTCTTTGGTGGCTTTTTCTTACAGAAAATACTGTTTTTTTCAGGTGGCATGTTCATTGCAACAGGTAGCACTGATCATGTGATAAGAATATATTATTTGGGCTTGGAATCTCCAGAGAAAATTGCTGAGTTAGAGTCCCATACGGTAAGAGAAGAATGGGAAATTAAATCTTTTTCCATTTTTAACTTACCCAGCCATTTAGGTTTTGTCTTGCATATCCTATTTCACTTCTTTTCTGTCTGTCTTAGATACGTGTGTGTGTGTGTGTGTGTGTGTCTAGATTACTATAGTGTCTGAAGAAAAATTAATGCATGTACCTCATCATATTTCTGTGAGGTGGGGAAGTGCTGTTATCCCATTTTATGAATGGGGAACTGAGGCATAGGGATGATTAAGGAATATGTCCAGAGTTTTATAAAAAGTCTTTGGCAGAGCAAAGAACCAAACAAGGTTTCCAGACTTCCTTCTCTCCCTTTAATTTTATTATAAATATCTGACTTTGCTGATATTGACCAGAAACCCCTTCAGTGAGAGCAGAATGGAATAATTCTGGTCTTAATATGTGAATTCCAAAAGTCAAAACATAGCAAGAAAAGACAATTTAAAAACTCCTTTTGGTTTTAGTTAAAATAAAGGAAGAGTCTACTAAATTTTTAGCATTTTTTTAAGAATGTGATTCACACAAATTTTGACAATATTTATCTATATCAGAATTTCAAGAAATTCAATTGTGAATTTCTTAAATTGATTTTGAAGAGAACTGATAGAAAAAATAGGAATTATTAATTTGGCACCATACCTTTCTTTTGTTACTAAATGCAGTCAATGGACTTGGCATGTAGACCATGTTTCTTAACATCATAGGTTCCCTGTAAGTTTACTGATGGCGAGTTTTACAAAAACATGGATAGAGCTATTACTTGTGAGGAACTTGAGTCATTTATCAATGCAGCTGAGTAGTTGTGCTATCCATTTAAATAACATCATTAAGAATAGACTGTGGCCTGAGGGGAACAGGTGCTCATTGCTCACTGAATTTCAGTGGGAGTTGGGAGCCTCTCACTTGGACTTCTTTGGAAATTTGGAGTGACTGATTCAATCCAATTGCTTAATAAAGGGGCTATTCTCAGAAAAAGTGAATCTAAAAATGACTTTACAGAACACAGTGACCTCCTTTTCCATAACTTAATTTACAAGTCTAAGAATGATTTTTCTAACTGTAATTTCTTAATCTTCCCAATTTTGCTTTTTTGGATTCCACAGACTGCTGTCAGACACTGTCTGAAAATAGAAGATCAGGAACGTCATCGTGTGTTTTTTCTCTTCCTTTTCCCCCGTTCCTTCCACACACACTCTCACTTTTTTAACATTCGTTCTGTCAGGGACCAGAAACAATATCATATAACTAAGATGACCAGTCATCTAGTGGTTATACTGAGTAGCAAATACGTGTGACAAATTCATTTTGTGATAAGCGTAAATATTCATGAATACAGTGTAAAAAACAATGTATGTCAGGTTCTGAACAATTTAAAATAGAAATAAGGCTGAAATTTGCCAAATATTTTTTTTCTCAACAAAATAATTTAACCTCCTTTTAATAATAGGTTAAAAAATTGCAAGCCTGTCCTAATGGTTTTGAGTTAAAATGCAACCTTCTGTATCCTCCCTGGAAATTGGCACTTTCTAGTTCTTGGTAGCTGGGAAGGGCAGTTGGTCCTTTCAGCTATGTGGTTATGATAAATGTCTTGCCTCTGTTCACACAGTTTCTGGCAGGCTAACTTATACCACCATTTTTGGCAGCACATCCCTTCTTCAAAGGGAGCCTGTATAGGAACATTAACTGCTAGGGATCGACATTAAAAACACCCGAGCCGGAATTGATTCAAACTTTGCAGGTTAATCTAAGCTGCACAGATTGAACCGATTAACAAATGGACAGACAGTCACTTCTGAATCAGGGGTGTAGGTTGTAGCCGTGTTGGTCTAAGGACATAGGCAGACAAGGTTCTTTTGGTAAATCTGTTGTCTTTTATTAGACAACTCAAATAGTTGGAAAAATTCTTCTTAGCAAGCTTTCGGGTTGAAAACTCGAAAACCCGAAAGCTTGCTAAGAAGAATTTTTCCAACTATTTGAGTTGGTCTAATAAAAGACATCAGATTTACCAAAAAAACCCTTGTCTACTTTTGAATCAGGAAATGCAGTCATATGCCTGCAATGGCTCAAGCCAGAAGCCAGGGGGTACTAGAGCACCGCTGCCAGCCACTGCCGAAGGGGAGGGGAGAAAGCCCTCAAAAAAGTTTTCATCCCTCCCTGCTGGAGTGAAGGGGGCATGACCAGGCCCCAGGCCATTGGAGGGTGAGGGTTTAAATCCCCTTCCACCAGCTGCAGTCTATGGATGGTGGTGTGGGGAGGTGTCCTTTCTTTGAAGCAAGCACACATTGATCACACCAGTTTGCAAACTCAAGCATACAACAAAGCACAACCCAAAATCTTTGCCTAAGCTAAGATACAGCCCAGTGAAACACAGTGAGAGCACACACAACTTAGTTTAGTTTAAAATGGAATGTAAACCAAAAGGACAAGAGAAAGCCTTGCATAAGTCTTACATAATCCTAAGGGCAGAGCATCTCCTTACAGGCAGGTATTCAGAAAGGCTTTGTTTAGGGGCATTCCCACCATTTACAGGCTCTGCTTTATAATGTAAATGTAGCTGTCTTCATTCTTTGGTCAAGCTGTCTGCAGCCCTCAAATTGTCTGTGACCCTCTCCTGTTCCCTTACCTCCATCTCCAGCACATAGGTGTGATGATTGTGCAAGGTCTTTGTGAACACCTTCCACTTCTAAGTCTGGTCCTGCAGGGTTTGGCCCTGTGCTCGCAGGTGGCAGGGGACCAGCCTGGTTCCCCAGCCTCTTCCCACTCCCTCATGGCCTTTATCAACTGCATAGTTTAGTTTCTGCCAGAGGTGAGAGCTGGTAGAGTCTTCTCCTTAAGAAGGGTCCTATCTTGTCCTTTCCTCCAATAAGTCTCTGGAAAGGAAAACACATTCTTCTAGGTAGGTGGGTCAATAATTGAGAAACAGTCAAAGTTGTTAGCCCCATATTGCAGTCTGGATGGCTCTTGGATTAACATTTTAACAAGGTGTTAGCTACCTTTGCTGTGCAGGCAGTCGTTTGACGGTTAAAGAACCGGTGGGGGTGGGGACAGGGTCTGCACCATGCCGGCCGGCATCTAGCCACACCCCCACTGTTGGAGCAGTGAGGTGGGAAACCCTGACAGGGGCTTTTGTGCCCTGGCCAGGCAGACCTTGATTGGGGTCCCGGGGGGAGAGGGGAATAAATCCTCTCCCTACCCTCTTTGCCTCAGGGGGCCATGCTAAGCCAGCATCTGGCCATGCCCCCACCCCTGCTCTAGCTAGAGTGCAGAGGGATGGAGCCAGCCTTGCTCTCTGGAGCAGACAGCACAGCACAGCCCAGCCCAGGGCTGGAAAGCATGCTGGGATGCTGGGGAACTGATTTAGCTTAAACCAGGAAGGAGTCTGGGACAGAAGTTCTGTAAGCCAGTTTGACCCAAATCAGTGAAGTCTGATACTACGTTCAACCAGGTTTATCTTAAACCAGTTTTGGCCATTTTGAAACTGGTTTATGTGCGTGAACTTCTGTTCTGTTACAGGTTTAAACCAGTTTATGATCACTTAAACCAGTTTATGTGTAACTTCTGTCCCTAGCCCCAGAATCTGTCTTCTTGAGCAGCACATAGTCCCTTTGACATCATAAAGTTCTGCCCTATATGTTTGTTCTGGGGAAAATTTAACTCCAAATCCTTAATTTTTTTATTCTTGAATTTTATAGGAAAAAACATGTAAAGATGCAATTTGACCAATTGAAAGTTCATCTTAAAGCATTAATTACAAAGATTTCAAACTTAAAGAATACTTTCTGCTTCTTTTTAGGACAAAGTGGTTGCAGTTCAGTTCTGTAACAATGGTGACAGGTAAGCAGGTATTCTGGAATTTTTCCAGTATGAATGTCACTGCAAGCTAATTTGCCAAAGAACTCTAACTTTTCAAGATAACATGTCAAGTCAGTGACACATTTGTGAGTCTGGACACACTGTCCTCTGTCTTAGTCACCAACGATACGCTGTGACTAACTTCTTACTTTTTTTTTTTTTTTCAAAGTTCTTTAGAAAAAAACAGATTAAGGACTACTCTTATTTAGGAGCTTCTTCACAAATAGCCCTGTTGCCTACAATGGGGTTACTTGCACAGTAATATGCTGTTCAACACAAATACGCATGTTAAATTTTGGCCCCACCTGAGATGTTTAAAAGATCATAAATATGCACTCGGTCCAACAAGCCAGGCTCCTGCTGTAGTACATGATGAATTTGCAGATGCTGAATATTTTATTATTGACTTGAATAGGAGTGATACGTGATTTGTGCCTAGTGGGATTGGTAGCATGTCTGTACTTTTAGCCAGAATAGGAACACTGAACTCAAATTTCTGAATAACTCCTTCTTATTAATAACTACTTAATTAAATGTGCATGCAATCAAAACATAGAGTATAGATTGTTAGCTCTGGCTTCAGTCATATTAGAGAAAGTTTAAAGATATGTAGGTTGGCCCAGGTGTATGGTGTTTTCAGTGTGGGCTGGTACCTTTTTGGAGGAAACTTTTTCCTTAGGAAAGCAGGCACAATGACATGTGGTGCTCTTAGAAGCACAGGAGAGTATAGTTACTGAAAATAGCCAGCTCTGACAAGCAGTTTTATGAGGCACTGTGGCCATGCCCACAGACCCTGAAGAGGGAGAGAGGGAAAAGAGTATAGTAATGATTTAGTTAGTTCATAAGTTCAGGACTATATTTTTCTCAGTTTCGTAGTCATAGTTTCATAGCAGCTAGGGTCAGGAGGGACCTGAACAGATCATCTAGCCTGACCCCCTGCCACAGGCAGGAATGAATGCTGGGTTCACAAGACCCCAGACAGGAGGTTCCTACAATGAGATTCAAAAGGGGAGGCTACTTGTGTCCTTCACCTTCATCCAGTGCTTGTTCTGTCCCTTCTTGGCAAATAGTTGGGAACAAGGAAGAATTGCTTGATATCAGGGGAAGTGTGCACTCTGTTCAGCTCCCTATTAATACAATCTACTTTATTACTGTATCTACTGTACCAAAAGGACTGAATGAAAAGATGATTTTTTCTCTTTTTTCTATCTTTATTCCATCATGCACTCATTTTCCCTTCTTTAAGCAGGATATTGAGATTAAGATGACGGTTTACTGGATTATATCTGTTTTAATATAAAATGGATCCCTTTTCTATATTAAAATGTATTTTAATATAAAATACCTTTAATATAACATGGATAGGCCACTAGCAAAATTTGCATCAGATAAAATTAAAAAATAGTCATTGACTGGCATAATGTAAAGTGCTTTCCTACAGCATAGCGCTAATATTTTTACAAAAAAAACCAAGATATCCACATGGCACTACCTAACTTAAATCTTTAATGCATGATTTCTTCTGTCTTTGGAAAATGGCTTGACTAAGCAAAAAGGCCTTTCCTTGTCCTTGAGTTCAGCAACATTGAGTTCTGTTTTTTAATGCTTCCAGTCCCAATGGTTTCAAATATTCTGTTTGTAATGTACAGTAAGGCAATATTGCAGTTCAGCTTTTTCACAAGAATATAGATCCTGTGTACTATTGGAGTACCACATTTTTTGAGGTATTTCTCCCTTAAAAGTCATTGGACTTAGATTCATAGATTGATTCATAGGTTGACTTTTCAGGCACAAAGAGTCATTAATACCATATATCAATGAAATGCAGTAGTCTTAATGTTCCCTAGTTTGAAATAGTTCCCACTGAGCTTATGTGGTATGTGGTAGGAACTGTGAGTTACAGAACTTAGAACTGTATTACAGTAGATGAGGTACTTGTAAAAGGTACAGTAAAAGGATAAGGGTTTAGAGAGTAGGTGGTATATATATACCACCTACTCTCTAAACCCTTATCCTTTTACTGGTTTCACCTGTGGAAAGCCAGTTGCAGGGCCAGGTTATAAAACCTTAATATCTTGGCTGTCACTTCTCTTGTGTGCTTTATTATTCATACTTATGTGCTTACCTCTGGCAGTATGTTTGGCCCTTCACAAAAAAGAAAATATAGAAATTTACAGGGGCAGGCTGAAGGTGGGGACAGAGGGTGGGTGGGCAGGCATGGGGGGCAAGCAGAGGGGGAACAGGCTGCAGGTCCCCTTCACCCCACGGTCTCTCCTGTTCCCTCTGGCCACATGCCTTCTCCCCAGCCAGATGAGCCATGCTGTCCTGGGTCAGGCAGCAGCTCGGCTCTAGCTTCAGCCCCAAGCCCAGATCAGAGCTGGAGCTGAGCTGCTACCTGTCCCAGGCCAGTACTTGAATCTAAAATGAGGCCTATTTTTCCCCCCATGCTCACTGGGGGGGACCTCATCTTGGATTCAAGCAAACATGGTACTCTATCCTGCAAGACCTTTTGCATCAGAAGACAAAGATGAATAAGCCAGAATGCCCTGATTTAATCAAATACCTCATGGTGGGATTTTCAGAAGTGTTTATTGCCAGGTCTATACTCCTGACTTCTGCTGGAGTAGCTTTAGTACTTAGGGGTGTAACACACATTAATTAATGACCAAAACACAACTGCTCTGACAAAAGTCAATATTGTAGATTACTGGTGGCCCCATGGGCAGGATGAGTGGCTTGAGGCCCATCTGTGGGCCGGATCCCATAAGCAGGGTTAATCCATGGGCCTGATCCAGCATGGGTCCCACACTGGATCTGGCCACAGAGCAATTCTGTGAGCTGGCCAGGCTCCACATGCAGGATCTGGCTATAGAGTGACCCCAATACGCTGACCTGGTCACGCTGGATTCAGCCACTGGGTGCTAGAGAGACCCCATGTGGAGTGTGTCATCCAGCTCACAGGTCTGGAAATTTGGTGATTAGGGAGCAGTGACAGCTGTGGATGCTTCAGTAATTGGTGCTGGCACCGGTCCCTGACTGCTGAATTCTGGACCTGTTGGGGGAGCCCTGTGGTCCAGAGATTGAGCACTACTAGGGTAGATGTTTGCTTCACTTGGTGGGATAGCTAGAATAAACCATATAATAAACCATGTAGGTTTGATTGTGTAGTTTTTACCCACATAGGATTTTTTGGTCAATATATTATACCAGTATTACTGTTGCAAGACCTTTGAAAGTATAGTGCTGATATAAGTGTTGTAGGGAGTACACATCCCATTGAAAATTATGCTGCATAATTCTTTGAAATAAAATTGGGTAGAAGTAAGCTACCTAGTATAAGCACATTTATGGGGGCGTTTTTTGGTTTGTGTTTCATCTGTTACGGGAAAACCAGATTAAAAAAAAGTAAGATGACTTATTAAAACAATGTATAGACAAGGGTAGCCATGGGTGAAGATATGTTGGATTAGTAAAAATGTTGCACTTCAATTGCATAAACTGTGCAACCTGGGATATTATTTTACCATTGCAAGAAGAATGTTTCATTGATGACTGTGACATTTTTATGTAGGTTATGTTATACTGCTAATGCCGAACTTTTTACATACAAGATGTAAACATTCAGCTTGCAGAGAAAGCTAGTTACTTGTCTTCAAATTTGGCATGCTTCCCCCCTCTCCCCCATTTTAATCTATTAAATGTATAACAGAATCTGGACATTTATCTTTTTATCTCCTGCTGCCCTTATGAGCTTCTCAAGGGATCTATGACTATCACTTAAAAACATGTGAAGAATATATGAATTACAACATTGAATTCACTTCAAGACCATCTGCTAGCTATAACTAAATGTAATTAATGTTGTGGTATGTAAACTGTTTTGTACTGTACAATATCTTATACAAGAATTGAAACCTCATTGTCTTAAATGATCCTCTCTAGATCAAAGATGCACAAACAATACATGGAATAGGTACTGTAAAAATTTAAATATCAGGGTTTGATGCCATTTGAATGACTTTGCTACTGGCATGCTAGTTGTATCGCTGCCAGTTTTCTTTGACAGTAATTTACCAGAAAGGCAAATAAAGTTTCCTGACTAAAAACACACATACTTGGGTGTACAGGTTTAACCAAGAAATATAGATGTATTTTATTGTATAATGGCATAAAAAAGGGTGATCTTGGTGAACTTTCATGAAGACCTAGGTGAACGCTGTACCCCACAGTCCACCACTGACTTCCAGCAATTGTCTGTTAAGGAACTGGCCAATCCTTAAGTGACAAACCCTTACTAAGAAGGGAGAACTCCATAGAAAAAGGCTTGGGAGGCACAGATGGTAATCAGACCAAAAAACGCAGTGGTTTACCTTCAAAATTACATCTTTTTTTCCCCCCTCATGTTTGTCTACAGCTTAAGATTTGTCAGTGGGAGCAGAGATGGAACAGCAAGAGTATGGCACTATCAGCAGCAGGACTGGAAGAGTATAGTCTTGGATATGGCTACTAAAATGACAGGGTAAAAGAGAAAAACCCAGTAACGTGTATTATAACCTCACTTATGCATAAGAACAACATGTTCTATCTACTAATATGCTTTAAAACTGCATTCTCATATGTTAATTTCAGGGTGTAGCCAGACATGACAAATTATTGCTATGTCAAATGATACTATAGGATGTGTTAGGCTCTAACTCTTACCTCTGCATGCTCCTGTAGCAAAACCATTGCAGCTTTAACCCTGTTTCATTCTGGGTTAAAGTTACAGCAATTTAGAGAACTGCTGCAGGAGCATGCAGGTTTAACCATTACGTCCTAATAACTTATGTATGCTCTTGAGCAGCAGTTCCCTCTCCCCTTTAAAAGTGATTAAAAGTTAATTTTTCCTGTAGTATATACACACATTGAAAATTAGATGGACTTGTCCATTACATGACAAAAGTTTGTTGCAGATTTTAATATCAAAATTAAGATGTTAACATATTGTTTTAGCAGTTTTCTTCTTTCTCTGGTTGGCAAGTCCTGTTTTATAGAAGAAGGCAAAGTATTGAATTGAGTTAATCTCTTAGAAAGATTCTGTACTAAAACCTCACTTCTAGACTTACCTGCACATTTAAAAAAATGTACAGACAAAGTGAGAGACAAGGGGTTGTCTGGGTGATACCTTTTATTAGACCAGCTACATGGTTGGGATACATTTGAACAAGCTTTTGATGCGGTGCATTCTTCAGTCTGGACCTTCAAGGCTACAACAGCACCCCAGCACCACAGAATAAATGTTTCTCTTGCCTCTCAGCAAAAGGTCTATCATCAGCTGGCATGATGTGCTATGAAATTTCTAGGATTTCTTTATTTTTACAAAAAGATGCCCTGGCACATTGATTCTGGCACTATGAAGTATTGTTTACAAATATTGGCATTTAAATGTAAAGTTGACAAAAATAAATGAACACATATCTTGTGTGTGATTATCTTCATAGTTGTATTATAGACATGCTTGTTTATGCTAATTCACTAATTTTGATTGGGTCACCCGGTCATTAATATGAGTACTGAAGATCTGCAAAAATACACTTACAATGCTGAATGTCAGTAGGTTATGTCCTAGTAAAAATGCATGTGATGACATTCTTTAAATTCCTTTATCTAGTTGCAGTTAAATGGCAGCAAGGAAGAAAAAGCTGGGAGTGCTGTCCCTTTATTTTTCCTCCTTACCATGTCCATTTAAAACATATTTTGGGATTTCATGGTTTCGTCCCAAGGTCCGACTTAGTTGTAAGACTATCAGAATATTTTTTCAGTTGTTTCTCAGCATTTTTCCCCAGTAGCTTTCTAAGATTTGAAGTTCTTGTTAGCTCTTCAATTACTTAAACTGCGAACAGATGTTGCCCTTGTTGCACCAGAAACATTTTTATAGCAGCAAAAAATACAAATGAACAGACATCCTTGCACCCCAAATGACCAGGAATGTAAGCTTGATGATTCTTATTAATAGTTTGTGCCACTTTATCATGGCAGACTTCTGTTCAGTTATGGCATGATTCCTGCAGCCTGGGGCTGCCTGTGCTCTCCAGTAGTCCCAGGCAGGGGATTCCAGTGTGCATGTTTCACAGTGCAGAGCTGTAGAAACCCATATTTCTAGAACAGGTTCCCCATTCCATGTTTATAGGTACTTTGCCCCAGGTTGGGGCCAGGTACCCAGGTCTCTTGTCCCGTAGAATCAGGCCCCCGAAGCCCCAAGAGCAGTAAACCTGATCCTGCAGGACGACGGCTCCAGACAATGTCTGTACCTGCCAGTCCATCAGCTGTACCAGGAAACATCCCAGCACAGCTGAGCCTGTGATAGAAATAATATCTGTTTGTAGCGTTATAGTATTTTTTTGTGTGCATGTTCAAAGGATTTTAGTAAGTGTTTGAACACACACATTCATAGAAAATAGAGATCAGAAAGACCCATAAGGCAATTTCATACATTTCCCCAGGCTATTGCAGTATATCTATATGTATCTTATATAGCTTTGTTTTTAATAAAATAGCTATCTAAGTGTAATTTAGGTTGTTTAGCCAGCTTGTACCCATTTGGATTTTAATACCTTACATGAGATATTTGATAAGAAAAAGAAAACCACTCACTTCCAGGAAAATATGTGGAAAAATTAGAATGTTCATTTATGAACAACAGGAAGAGAAATTACTTCTTCCTTTTCAGAGAAAGTAGAAGCATTTCAATGTAAGTTGCAATAGCGTAGAATATTTTCTGTGCCCTGCTTTTGCTTCCACAGAGCGCATACCATGACTGCATGAGCAACCATTTGTTTTCATCTGTAGTCACAGTTCATTTCCCTTTATACAGTAGTGTGACAGTAATTAATTTCAGATCAAATTTCTGCTGATAGGTTTTGCTGTATAGATGTTGAGGTATTACTTTTAGTTTTTCAATTTCAAATTCCTTCAGGAACAGCGTGGCATCTGGGGAGGACAAGATAACTAAGCTAAAGGTTACTATGGTGGCTTGGGATCGATACGATAGCACTGTCATTACAGCAGTCAACAACTTCCTTTTGAAAGTGTGGAACTCATCCACAGGGCAGCTTCTTCATAGTTTATCGGTGAGTAAAATTACAGTGAATAATTTTAAAGGCCTTTTGTATCAGGACATGATGAGAACTGATTAAGGGCTAAATTGTGCCATGCTTACCAACATTGAGGAACAGTTTATTGCTGAAGCAGGCCAGCTGAATGCTTTTCTTTTTTTCTTTTCCCATGATTTATCCTTCTTTACAACAAGGTTACAGGGAAATGACTGAGGTTGTGCTGTGCCCTGGTGATTCCTAGCTGACATAGACATCTCTAATGGCCATAACTGGAATAGAACCAACCCCATGAGGAGGAAGCTGAAGCTGCTCTCTTTATTAGCACTAAGATGGGGGGGCCTGGGGTAGCTATGCCCAGCTGTATATCTGATCATTGTTGGCAGTCCATTGATATGAGGATGACTATATTTAATAAAATCAGCCATATGATTGAGTCAAGAGGACTATGAGCGAAATACTTAGCTGTGCAGGGAACTATTACATAGAAATTTTAGTTTCCTTTGCTTTGCTTTCATCACAGGGCCATGATGATGAAGTTTTTGTCTTGGAAGCTCATCCATTTGACCAAAGGATCATACTTTCTGCAGGTCATGATGGGAATATTTTTGTTTGGGATATTGACAAAGGAACCAAAATTCGCAATTACTTTAACATGGTAAGAATGGTTAGGAATATTTTCATGTTTGAACAAAATTGGATGTCAGGACAGTAGTGAGCCCAGTGATAAACTCACTGGGTGTGTCTCCATGAGCAGTGCACATGTGCGGTTTGTGACACCTTGAAGCCATTTGAGGCACCGCAAACTGCACATGGTGCATGTGTATCCATGCGTCATACTTCTAATTTGCAGCGTGGCAGGGTTTTTTTATCAGTGGGAGATCCCAGTGTTGAAAAAAACAAACAAACCTGCTGCTAAAAAAAGAAGCTCGGGGCACATAGCAGGAACATGCACTGCCAGAAACCAGAGCCTGGCCCATCAGAGCCATGCTCTGGCTGCTTTCCAGGCTCCAAGTGACTGGCTCAGTACCGCTGCTGCCCCAGGAGGCCCCCAGGAACCCAAGTAAAGCTGCTGGGGCCAGCTTTGTCTACCCCACCTGGGCCCTTTTGCCACATGCCAAAATGCATGTGCAGGGGCATGCTTGGGGACAAATAGCAGTGGCACAAATATGTGCCACTGCTGTTTGTCCCACGGCAAATGTGTGCCCCTGTATGTGCACGCTCATGGGGATGCACCCATTGTGACCAGTGTTTATAACAGGATTTGGGAAGACGCTTGCGTGCAACAAATCTGCATTGTTCATTATGTATATTTTAAAATTATAGAAAGTCTTTCAGTAATCTCTTGTATTTGCAGAATATAAAGGTATGATGCATCTTTTATGAAAATTAATTGAAGTTTTGTTGATCAGTTTTTTCAGAAGAAAGCTTAACAGCATTGCCATTAAGACTTTAGGAAAGGTAGAAAGTTAAGTTAAAATTTAACCGAACAGTAAAGGTTAAAGATAGCAAAGTGGAAAAAATAGTGAAAATCCATCATATCGATATAAAATGGGAATTTACGTTGAACTGAAACTTAGAGGCAGAGCTACTTTGCTACACATTTTACGAAGTGGGACAGATGGAATCTTAATATTGAAGCTTGCGTCAAAGAGAAAAAAATTATTTTAAAATGGACATTCTGTGTTCCCACATTGCAGATTGAGGGCCAAGGCCATGGTGCTGTTTTTGATTGCAAATTCTCACCAGATGGACAGCATTTTGCTTGCACAGATTCACATGGACATCTGCTATTATTTGGTTTTGGATGCAATAAATATTATGAAAAGGTGGGTTGGCTGCATTTGAAAAGCTTCTGCATCTTGGGCTGATTTTATGTTGGAAGTGTTTATGTTGTGGCTTGGTGCTTTTTCCCTGATGAACTTTAAATGGTAACTGAATTGTGTGATAGTCACTCGTTATTTAAATCAGAATGTTACATGTGCTTTAAATATCTAACAGCAAATCTTGAGGAATGAGTTTAGGGGATGACTGGCAAACATAAAAAAAGAAAATAGTATAAGCTTTTTATACATTTAATTTAACCTAGTAAGGAAAACATTGCTTGTTTTTTTCTACAAAACTCACAAGAAGGTCTGTAACCAACTTAAGGAAGGAACAAGGAGAGATTTAAGACCTGTTGATATTAATATTTCAAATTTACTGCAAGTTCTTTTTTTTCCAAAGTAGGTGGTTAGTCTCTATCTTGTTCTGTCAAATGTAAGAAAAGTTTTTTTGTAAGTTTTCATGTGCAAAGTGAGTAGAAAATAGACTATATAGTTATTCAAGATTATGCCTTCATGCATCCTAAAAATCTGCTACTGTTACATGTGCTTCTATAATTAAATGTCCAAAAAACCTTCATCAGTTAAATGATACTTTAAAATAAGGAAATAAGGATTAAGGCAACATTCTACTCCTGCTCTGCAATCTTAACTTTACCCTCTGGAGCTGGTAATGACCACTGAAAGAGGTTTATTAAATACATAATGAGTATTTATGAAGAAAATGTATTATTGTTTTCGGGGGGGGTGGGGGCTTACATTTTGTTCTAGGTATGGATTTCAGCATTTACTGCATGTGCTTCATTTGTGCTCAGTGTACTAGATAAGCACAATAATGGAGAGTTGGGAGCAAGTTGGAAGAGCTCTTAGTGATTTGAGGATGGTGTACTTCGGTGATTTAAGTATGGGTCATTTCAGTGATGTGCTTGGCAGTATGCTTTGGTAATGCCCAAATACCATGTTAGGGGAATTGGTAGCCTTATGGTGACATAATTGACCTTAGTCTTTGGGTCTTAGTGACAGGTAAGTTAAGGCAATAGCATAGAATTCTATTGGCATGTGTGAATTCTATCCGCACATGTGAAGATGTTGGAGGGAATTGTCTGGAATTAGGCTCAGTGTTTGAGTATAGGCCAGACTGAAGCTGACTTGAGCCTGAGTTTTGCATTAGCAAAGAGAAGGTGTTAGACTTTGTCCTACCATACTTGTGTGCCGAGTCAGCAAGGAGTTCTGTAGCATCTGTAAATGCAGAACACTAGTATATTTGTCTTTGCATATCTCAGCCCCCACACTCCACACTGCACCGGTAGTACCCTACCTTCACATCCACTCCACCAATGTGCCATGTTTTTTAGCACTATTCAAAAGTAATTACATGAATCTGAAAATGCTATAAACAAATTTCCTTTGATCACACCAAACAATTGTTTAGGAGATAGTTGACAAACATGAATAGTTATTATATTATCCTAACTGTTTATTAAAATTTTTACAATTATTACAACTTTTCTCTTCCTTCTGCTTAATGCTAGTTCCTTGCAAATGCTGGTAAAAACAGTTTCTTCATGGATTGTAAAGCACTTGAAACCATAACTCTAGATCTTGAGGCAAAACTTTCAAAAGAGCCTCTGCAGAATTCAGACAGAGAGCAGGCAGCATGTGTGCTGTCCCGAATCCTCCCAAGGACATAGCTTTAAAAGGAACCTTTAGCTCAGATGGTGCTGAATGTGTACCCTGAATCCTATCCCAAACCCCTGTGAAGCACAGAAAATTTCATGACAGTCTGAACTGGTGTGTATGCCTTTAGTTCTGTTGCAAACAGTAGCTAACACTAAATGAAACAAGACCTTTACTAACTAGTAAACTGCCCATCAAGAATCGCGGGCGGGGGGGTGGAGTGGGGGCCAGGGCTGGGGCGTGTGCCGTTCCCCACTTCCCCCTGCCACTTTGGGCTGAGGCCAGGGCCAGAGCTGTTCCCCACCTCCCCCCTGCTGCTTTGGGCTGGAGCCAAGGCCACTCCCTGCCTCCCCCCTGCCACTTTGGCAGTGGTGATGGTGGCTGTGGCGGGGTGCAGCCACCAGTAACCCGTTCTCTCCTTCCTGTTCCCCTCTCCCCTCCAACCCCTCAGTCCCCACTGTCATGTGTAGGGCACTCTGACTGGCTGCCGAGAGAGCCAGTCAGAGTGCGATTAAAGCATTATGGACAGACAGACAGACAAAGGCTTTTATAATATTAGAATAGGTATTTTATCTAATCTGTAACAGCCATTTTTTACTGGGAGTGAGAGACACTAGTCTTCTGAAATCCTCTTGGTGCCAGGGTTCTTCATTCTTTTCCCCACTCACCATTCTCTCCATGTAAATATTTTGTTTGTTTCCTGTTATCTCCTCTTCATTTATGCATCTCTGATCTGTATAAGGTGCAACTCTACCCTGTCCTCTTCATTGTGGCAGATCTCTGGAACAAGAGGAGTGAATGCAACACCGTTCTTTGAGTCCTCCAAAGAGAGGGCTTGTAGAGAGGATGTACAAGGCACATACTCCTGTTTCTAATTTTTTTGGGCATATTGTGCTGCTGAATTTTGATCCGTGCAGAAGTTTTCTTTGAGGATAGATTCTTGAGGCTAGAACACATTTATGTTGGGAATCTGTTTTTTGTCACAAGATTGCTTTAACCAGTCTCTATTCTGGAAGCCATTCTAAAATATGCAGACTACTGAGTGGGATCTATTACTTAATTTATTTTCATGTAGATTCCAGATCAAATGTTCTTCCATACGGATTATCGACCACTGATTCGTGATGCAAATAACTATGTGCTAGATGAACAGACTCAACAGGCTCCACATCTCATGCCTCCCCCATTCTTGGTGGATGTGGATGGAAATCCTCATCCCACAAGATATCAACGTTTGGTGCCAGGACGGGAGAATTGTAAGGATGAGCAACTCATTCCTCAGCTGGGATATGTGGCTAATGGTATGTTTTCTAAAAGTCTTAAGTATCTGAATGATATAGGGCAACGTTAGAGAGAATAACTGTAATAATTTCTGAAGCTAAATCATAATCTTGAGTCCAATTTTAATATGAGAGGAGTGAATTACAATATGAAGGAAGTAATGGAAATCTGTAGAGTAGATTATCTCAGAACCACAGACAGAGTTGGAGTCTGAAGAAACTGTAGAACTCAAACATTGGTGGGCTGGGTGTCTTTGGTTCATAATGGGCGCGTATACATGTGCATTTAAGCGTGACTAAATTTAATGTGCATTAAACAATTTTTGGCAGGTGTCTACATGTGCGGGGACTTGGCATTAAAGTTAGGGCACTTGGCAATAAAGTTAATGTGAAGTCCCTGCAATCCTGCCATGTGTCCCTAGTGGCTGGGCAGACCAGGTACTAAAGATAGTGCTGGGTTGTGTCTACACGTGCATTAATGTGCTTTAACTAATCGCACCTAAATATGATGCCTGCATTTGCAGGCATCAAATTTAGTCTCAATTAGCCTAAATTCACCATTTTTAATGTGTATTAAAGGTGCGCATGTATAGACGCACACCCTTAATATGCATTAAATTAAGCTAATGCGCATTAACACACCTTGTGTAGATGCGCCCAATATTTACAATTCTGTAAGATATAGACTGAAACACTTTTTTTTTTTTTCTTCATTCCGAAGATGCGTGTTTTCAGGTTTTTGTCTTCCAGTTGAGAGGTTTTTTTTTATTTTAAAGAATAGAGAGAGAAAATGACAAGAGAAATGTTGCTACCCAAATTACATTGTAACTTAAAAACTAAACGATAGTTAAACAATATCTCTTCCTTGTTTCTTTTATGTGTTCTCATACAATTTTTATTCGTGGCGTCTTCATACCACCTAGTGTAGAAATATTCAAAGGAGCAAGATACCTTTTGGTTCAATTCAGGCTGCAGTTCACTACATTGTTAAAATTGGTTTTTAATAAGTAATTAGTCAGTGATCAGGAAAACACCACAAGGGCCAGTGTGACTATATAGTTATGCTGAATTGTGTGCATATGTGTAACTGCATTTCTTTTACCCTCTGCTGCTGCTGCTGCTTAATTGAAAGCAAGAGGAAAACCTGCTGATCTTATTGAGTGCAGAGCAGAAAGACCACCTTATTACAGGACTGAATTAGATAGTCTTAGGTTGTTAATGAAATTGAATTTAATCATTTGCTTGCTTTTTTTCTTACCAAGGTGACGGGGAAGTAGTTGAACAGGTGATTGGACAGCAAACCAATGACCAGGATGAAAGTATTCTTGATGGAATGATTAGAGAACTGCAGAGAGAACAAGATCTGAGACTAATTAATGAAGGCGAAACTGTCCCAAATCCTCCACTTAATAGATCCCACTCTGTTAATGGTGGTAAGTACTTCCCATTTGTCTCAACCAGTTGTATTTCCAGCAGACATGTTAAACTATTGAGGCTGCTGTGCTGTACAGTAGAACCTGTATAACAGTATTTGTAATTCATAACAGGTTGACAAATTAAGGACCAGCCTATGAACTGTCAGCTACAGCTTCTGCTTCAAAAGGCAGTGGTTCTCTACTCAGTGGGAGCATAGCAGCTGTCTTTTTTGCAGTGGATAGGAGAAGCATTGTCCTTTAAAATAAAAGCCACTGCAGGCAACCAAAGCACCTTAGTGGTCCTGTGCTGCTGTGGCATCCTCTCAGTAACTTTAGTGTGGGCCTCGCATAACCCCAGATATTTACTGAAACCCTCACATTTGCTGGAGGGTTATAAAGAATCTAGGTTCTACTGTACTACTCGCACATGCAGTGGGCTTGTCTTGTGTTTGCTGTATTCTGTTTTCTCTTCCCAGTGTTAATAACCTATTTCAAAGACTTTAGCATTCAGTTGGTAACTGAATTGAAGAATTAAAAGTATGAGGAGTAACTGTTGACACTTGATGGTCCAGCTGGACAGCATCTGAACACTTAAGATTATTGGACTATAATTAATTCCATTGCAAATGCTTTCTAAAAATTAAAAAAAAAATCATATTATTGCCTAACTGTCATTTGTTCACTGAAGAGAGATGGTGCTTTCTATCTTAATGTCAGCATAATAGTATATAAGTAGATGATATCAGTGGAATTGTGACAGACTAATGGTTTCTTTCTACAATAAATGCCAAGGTTGAGTATCAGGGGTTTGGGTTGTAGCCGTGTTGGTCTAAGGACATAGGCAGACTAGGTTCCTTGGGTTAATTTGATATCTTTTATTAGACCAACCCAAACGGTTGGAGAATAGTTATTAAGCAAGCTTTCGGGTTTATAAACCCTTCGTCAGGCTAAGGAAGCTTCACTGCTGAAGCTTCACTGCTGAAGCTTCCTTAGCCTGATGAAGGGTTTTTGAACCCGAAAGCTTGCTTAATAACTATTCTCCAACCATTTGGGTTGGTCTAATAAAAGATATCAAATTCACCCAAGGAACCTTGTCTGCCTAAGGTTGAGTATCAGTGTTTTATGAATAAATGTGGCTGCTTTGCCCTAGTCTTCCCCTCACCCCACCCTTCAACAAAAGCTCAAGTTATTCCCTTAGTACGGTGTTCTTGTTCTATTGACTTGACTTCTGATCCACCTTATGAAACGGGCAGCTGATCACAAAGCAGTTTACTGTCTGCAGTTACTTTAGTGTAACAGATAATGTGGGAGTTGTGTAAGCCAGCCAATCACAACTCACTTTATTTATATCAGAAGCTCTTAAAAAGTTTACATTTGGTAATGAGCTCTTTTTAGGTAAACTACTGATAATTTAAATATAAGTAATCAGTCTCTTGGTGACAAAGGTTAGTTCTGATCGATGCATTTGGATCCTCTCTTTCCTCAACAGTGATGAAGCAAGAGGAAAAAAGTGGTGAAAGAAAAGAACACATCATTTCACTTCAATCTAAATCAGCGGTGCCAAACCTAAAGGCCTAGATATTGGACCCAGCCTATTTGATCTCACTGATCCTTGTGGCATTTCAAATTTGCTGAGTGCAAGCTTGACTTAAAGAAGAAAAAAAACCCTTAGTCCATATGGTTGTGAATAGGCCTGTGTGAATAGGGAATTATTACGGTTTGGATTTGGCTGATTCGGAGAACAGTGATTTGATTTGGAGATTTGGATTACTGTCCTGAATCGATTCGGCTGAATCGGCTTTTAAGATTCAGCGCTGATTCAGAGAGATTTGGTGATTTGGATAGGCTGGGGAGAGGCAGGCACAGCTGGACGGCCACAGGTCTTTCCGCGGCTCCTCTGGCTGTGCCTGCCTCTCCCGAGCGAGGGGAGCTTTGGGAGAAGACCTCATGGCTGCCCTGCCTGGCCCCATCCCCTGCCCGGCCCCAGCCTAGTCCTGGCACTTAAAAAAAAAAAAAAAAAAGCCTCATACTCACTGGCTGCAGGAGTGATGATTGGGGCCTCTGGGCACTTGTGGGAGAACCCCCTTGCGCAGCACCAAGTAGTGGGGGGCAGTGGGGATTGCCCTTTCCCTGCTTGGCACCCGCGTGGCAGCTGCCTCATGGCATGGGTGCAGCGCAGCTCAGCAGGGCGCCACCTGCTGCCTGGGAGCTGGGGGCGCTGGGGTGAGTGGTGCCAGGCTTCCTTCAGCTGACTGCTGGAGCTGCCCCAGCTCCCAGACAGTGCATGGTGCCCTGCTGAGCTGTGCTGCATGTGCACAGTACGATAGCTGTCATGCAGGTGCCAGGCGGGGATGGGGCAATGATCCAATGATCCCCATTGCCCCCCTCTGCCCCACACTTGGTGGCAGCTACATTTATTCATAAAACACTGATACTCAACCTTGGCATTTAGCTGTAGAAAGAAACCATTAGTCTGTCACAATTCCACTGATATCATCTACTTATATACTGTTATGTTGACATTAAGGTAGAAGTACTTCTGGTCCGCTGCTGAGCGTACGGGGACCCCACTCTGCACTTCTTCAGCTTGGTGATTGGCTGCAGGGGAACCCCAGGTACCCCCCCAGACCCAGGAGGCATTAGTCGCCGAGCCAGGGGCCAGAGGGGGGGTCCTCCACTGAGTGAGCTGGGGACAACCCTGTGCTCCTATGGGACACTGCATCTGCCCCACCATCTCAGCGATCACGAGCAACATAGAAAAAACATACAAATTTGTGTCTACATCCGAATCTCTCCAAATTGATTTGGAAGGTTCTGATTTGATTCGGAGAGATTTAGGGGTCTCATGATTCGATTCAGATTTGGAGATTTGGCTGCTGAATCTCCGCCAAATTGAATCAGTGTCTGAAGCTTTGCACAGCCCTAATAAATAGGTGTTCTTAAAGCCCAACCCCAATGATCTCCATATCAGGACAAAAAAATTCTCACCTAATAAAAAGGGAACACCCCCCCCCCCACACACACATTTTTCCAAGCAAACAATCCTATGTGATTTGGTTGCCTGTGATAGTAGAGTATTGGACTCCATTGTAAGAGGCCATTTCTAGTCAGGTGTTTGCTTTCAGTTCATCAGTAATTGAAAAAAATGACTGCTCATTCCTGGGACAATTCAATTATGTTGTTCCCTTTGCAGAGGGCTGCGAGGAAACATTCTGCCCAGCTGTGAATTTTGGATTCTAGGTTTTATTTAAATAGTTATGGAAATAGAGGGAAACTGTTTATTTTTCTGTTTTAGCTCTCAGAAGTCCAAGTTTGGATGTAGCGTCTCCACCAAATGTTGGTCTCAGACGGAGTGGTCAGATTGAGGGAGTCCGGCAAATGCATCATAATGCTCCTCGAAGTCAGATGGCCACAGAGAGAGATCTCATGGCCTGGAGCAGAAGAGTGGTGGTGAATGAGCTGCCTCCAGGGGTTAGCAGGTAAAATAAAGCCAAAAGTGCTGAATTTCAGTGGGAACCAACTTTGCAGTACAGGTATGAGGACAGACGCCATTTATTTTTTCTTTGTTCTTTATGCATCTGTTAGCTGCTGTTAATTTGGAATCAACTATACAAACATTACAGTGAAACTAATAAACAGTACCTCTTTATAATCCAGTTAAGATTATAATGTTAATGCTAATGTTCCTTGTATTGCCCAGCATTCTTGCAAAAAGAAAAATAAATCCTGTGGCATTTAGGTGATTACTGCAATTCTTTACATTTTTTAGGAATTGGTTTCTCAATTTTTTCAGATATTAAGATTAGGATTACATTCTGTTTTGAAAGAATAGTTAAATTCTCCCATGCCAGTTCAGATCTCTCTCTCTTCCCATATTGTAGCCAGTTGTATTTAGACTTTTCTTTCTTCCTGAAAGGCTCTAACATTTTGTGGGGGGTCAGGCAGGTATTCTCCCTCCCTCCCACAAAACATATTTTATTTTTATCATAATTTCTCAATGCCATTAACAAAGCATAGCTGATTATCCAACTTGCCCCTTCTTAGAAAGAAAATGATGCCAGAAGAGATTTTTCACTAATAAAAAATAGAAGTGATATCTGAGTACCATTAGTAGGATGTAGATGTATTTGGCAAGTAAGCAAAAAGCATTCTAACATGCAGTAACTAGACTGTCAATCTGTTTGGTGCAAATAAAATTAATGTTTGTTTCCCGTGTGCACTTAGGGTTCAGGAAGAACGCCGAGCTGCCAAAGGTGAAATAGAAATTGGTCTGTACAGTGTTGAAAAGAAGAGAAAGCCATCTCACACCTCACAAAGGGTATGTAAATTTCTCTAGAAGCGGAAACATAAGCATAGAGACCAGGTTTAGCACTAGACAGAATCCCATGGCAATTTTGCTAGATGTGTTAGGGCCCGTCTACACATGCAGGTAAAGGCATGATGGGATCTCATGCATGATCCACATAATCAGTGTGGCATGGCAGGAGCTATGATCATGATGTAGGATCATGAATTGGGTCCCATCATACCTTACTGCTGGTACCTGATCCTGGGCTCCCCTTGCGCTGGCAAGAAGCAAGTTCCTATGGCTGGGAGGTCTTTCAGCTGATAGGGCTTCCAGTCACAGGGGTGCCATATGCACTCCTGTGGCTGGGAGACTGCAGCTGATGTGATCTCCCAGGCAAGGGGGTGCCCCACACACCCCTGGAGCTGGGTGATCATAGCAACTTCAGTCTCCCAGCTACTGGGAACGTGGAGCACCCCCATGGCTGGGAACCTTGTCAGCTGATGGGGCTCCCAGCTGTGGGGGTATGTGCTTTCTGCCTGGGAGCCAGCATCAACTGAGAGCTTCCAGGCTTGTAAGTGCATATGGGCCCCCGCAGCTGGAGCTTGAGTCAGGTGATGGGGCTCCTAGCCAAGCTGGCACTGGCTACATGCGCAAATTAAAGCTGGATAGAAATTGTCTATAAAAGTATTACACATTTTCCAGCAATAATTTTATAACTGGTTGGACATTTTTAAGGTGCCATAGTTAATTTGCAGGTAGCCAGTCTAAAGTAATTGTGCAGTTAATCAGGTAATTGTGTAATGCACATGATGTGTAAAGAGGGCTTTAAAATAATAGTTTATGGTACTTAAGAGCTCCAATCTTGCTAATTGCTATTCCATTCTTAATTTGGTGCATGTTGCAGTATAATTTGTTAGTAACTCTATAAAGCATCCTTAGTGGTGGGAGGGTGGATGTGCTTTAAGTGAGCAAATTAAAAAACTGGAAATATCATTGTTAACCAAAATCTTGGTCCCACAACATGTGAATGGATTCCTGCACCCACAAAGAACCTAATTTTCTTTAGAGTGGCTCTTCATGAGTGAAAAGCAGTCTGTCTTATGGCCCTTCTGTGGATTAGAGTTTTAGAATATTTTCAAGTTCATAATAAAGCAATGAATATTTTAGTAAGGGAATATTCAGAATGTGCTTTTATGCCAGGACACAATGTCTGAACTGGTACCGTAAAGTGTAGAAACTGAGAGACTGTGTGAAAGTATGTTTCATTCAAATCGTATTTGGCATGCATGGACACATTTTCATTTGTGGTACTTTTACATGTACAATTAAGGGGTTATATAAGAGTACTGAGGGAACTGCACAGTTCTCAGAATGGTGAAATTCTCTGGCATATCAGAGGGAACAGAAGTTTGGCAAGAAGATGGTATTTTTACATGATTAATTTTCAGGGTAAAATAGGTTCTTTAAAATGAGAGGATTTCTTCCGTCCTTTCCCTCCTGCTAAATGTTCCAATAGCAGAGTAAATTAAGAATGGCTTAATTCCAGTTTTTCTGCAAGTCGGACAGTGTACAGTCCTTTTTAATAAGGTGTTCTTTTGAGCTACATGTTTAACTACTAAAATATCTAATATTTTTTCCCTGTATACAAGAATGATTATCAGCCTGGCAGTGGACGATCCCTGAGAAGAAACCAACGCAAACGCCAGCATGCCTACCAAACGCGCTCCACCATAGAACACAATCAGCAAGGAGCAAGCCAGAATGCACGTGTGCGGGAAGACTCAGAAAGCTCCTCTGAGGTTTGAAATCCCCAGTGATTCTTTCAAGAAGTTCCTTGTTCATAGATAGTGTGGTACAGATGTTCTCAAAACAATATTACCATTAAGACTCAGGTTTTTCCCTTTATGAAAAAGAATTTAATTCATCTGGTCTATAGGACTTGTGCCATTATTTTAACAAGTTGGTCTGGGAAGGAGATGAACCATTTATTTCAGTGCCAGTACAGTTCTGAAGATGGTAGAAATATAAAAATAAAAAAATCAAATCTAATTTAAAACAGATTGTTTCTTGGATGACACTCACTAAAAAATTGTGAAGTGTTTGTAGTTTAATGTACCCGGTCTGAATGCTACTTCTGTTTTCTTATATTTGTCTTCCTGGGATCTCACAGAACTGAAGGTTTTCATATTGCACATGTATTTGGGACATACATGAACCCATGCTAGTTTTTAACATCTGTTCAGCAACTTTCAAAAGTGCTGTGATTTGGAGTACGTGGCTGATACTGGCAAGAGAAGGATTTAAGGTATCCCAGATGAAATAACATCCTCTTCTTAAGAGAAGGAAAACAAAAAAAACAAAAAAGAAGAGCTGAACACTTAGGCTAACTTTACACATGCTCGGCGGGGTGCAGAGGAGGGGGACAGGAGGGGGGAGGCACTTTAATTAGAGCAGCTCTGAGAGCCACTCTAATTAAAACGCCTGCAGCTCCATGTGTATTCAGTGTCCCGGAGCTTCAAAATGACAGCTAAACTAAAGCTCTTGTGACGCGGAGGCTGCTGGAGCGTGCTAATTAGCACATTCCAGCAGACTCAGTTCATAGTCTGCTCCACCATGTGCTAACTGGCACATGTGAGAGCAGACATCTGGGACATGTATAGGTGCCCTGAATCATGTTGTGCAAACTCTGTATGTTCACTACTTTCTCCACCTCTGAGTTATTGCTAAAATGATCCTTAAAAAGTCATACCATAGCTATTATAACTCTAAGATCAGAAAAAAGCATTAGTTTTACATGAATTATGTGGTCAAACTACATAATAATAGCAAGACAAGGTTCTTTGGGTGAATCTGGTATCTTTTATTAGACCAACTTAAATAGTTGGAAAACAATTATTAAGCTTGCTTTTACTTTGCAAGCTTAATAATTGTTTTCCAACTATTTAAGTTGGTCTAATAAAAGATATCAGATTCACCCAAAGAACCTTGTCTGCCTGTGTCCTTAGACCAACACAGCTACAAACTACACCCCTATAATAATAGCAAGATATTTCAAGTATGGAGACGCATACAATTGTATTATGCTTTAAAAAGCCTTATTATTTTTCTGTTCTAACTTCTGAAGCCCTTCTTTGTGCCATTGTATATACATATATTTGTTGTAGGAACTGCTTGCTTGGCATTTCATAAGTCTCTTTTAGTAACATGACCCATTACAGCTTGTGTGTATCACGCAAAAATTGGTCTAATTTGTTTCTGCTTAGCCTAGTCTCTTACAGTAAGTAAAAATGAGGGGGGAAAATGTGGCTTCAAAGTCATTCTGAAGAGACCACTTTTTTCTCCAATACTCAAGTTTCTGGGTGATTGCTAAACAGTATTTACTGCTGCAGTAGTAAAGTTAAATACTCTTCTATCTTTAATACAGGAAGATGAGACAGTTGGTACAAGTGATGCCTCCTTGGATGATCCCGTGGCTACATGGCAAAGTGAAAGCAGTTCCAGGTAGTTTTATGATGCTTATAATGTTTCTTCTTAATTGTCTGTGATTATGTAGTCTTTCAAAGGCTTTAACATCACGGCTGATATTACTGGAAGCATGACTACAATTTCAGAAGTAGGGTTCATTCATCTCTTATTGCACTCTAACGTGTCCACATTTCTTCCCCTTTCAAGGCAATAAGGCGGTGAATCATACCTTATGTCATAGTCTTAAATACCCTAGATAGGCTAAGCAGTGAAGTCTACAAGTACTTCAGTGGATATAATATTTGTTTGTGCATCTTTGACCATGAAATATAGTAGTGAACTGATCATGTGTAGTCAATCTGTTTACAAGGGCATGTGTCTTTGTAAGATGGCATGAAAAACCTGTAAGCTTGCTTTTTCTTTTTTCTCTGGAGATTCTACCCCCCTTCCTCTGGCATCTTGTATAGTTTTTCTTTGGATTAGGAAATATTTTGAAATACCATGTTTTCTTGCACACAGCATATATCCCTTTCCCAAAAAAAGAGCTGCTGAAAATTGGAGTGCACATTGTGTGAGAAATATGATAAGAGCATTTTCTGTCACTCTAGGTGAACCGAGGAATAAAATGCATCTTTCCACGGAGTAGAACAGTGACCCCGCTTGGCTCCCTAGTTGCTGTTACTCCATTCCTTATTATAAGGAAAGATCTTCTTTTCTTCATTTTGCCCCTCTGAAGTTTATTCCAAGGCGTGTTGTATACAAGAAAACACAGCAGCTCAGATGTCAAAATTCTGCTAATTTTTGAGTCCGCTTCCCAGACCCATAAATATTAGCATGATTTGAATAGGAATATTGATACAAGATCGGTGCAGTTAGCTGGCATGCCCAAAACTGATAGCTGTGTGATATTAATTTGTTGGCATTTTTTTTGCACACAATTTAATCTTTTTTTCTTTTTTTCAAATAATTTGAGTTTCTGTGTCTGGAGGAGATGAGCTATTATTAAATACAGCATATATATATCATTTTGATGTAAGGAAGTCAAGACTGTATACTTTTAAAGACTCAGCTGCTGTTAATCAACATTTTTACACAGTTTATAGTAATAAATCTGTTAAGAGATGTGAAATTATGAAGGCAATAAAGTCTGTCCATGCAGCCTTCCACAAACAACTGAGATCATTACAATGAAACGACACTTTGTTTGGTTATATTTGCAGCTGAAATAGTATACTGAAATGTTTAAACCAGGGGTGTCAAAGATATGGCCTGTGAGCCAGATCCAGTCCATGAATCTTGGACCAACACCACACACTGCATGTAGCAGATACTGGCTGCAGCCCAGTGTGCTGCATGTGGTGCACGGAGCCAGTCTGGTGCGCTGCCTGCAGCAGATGAGCCCTGAACATTGACACTTGGGCCAGGTCAGGTTCACAGACTATTTTCCATGCCAGAATGCAGGGCTGGGCTGGCATGGGTGCCCCTGCAGCATGCATCCTGTGCTGATCCTATGTGCCACGTGCAGTGAGAGCCCTGAACTGAGACTGGCAAATGCTGCTGCATTCTGTGCATGGGGCTGGACCTGGCATGCAGCACAGACAACTGATCTGGGGCTCATGCTGCTTACTAGGTCACATTGGACTGGCCCTACGTGCTGGCTTGGGCCAGTCCAGCCCAAATGGGTGGGGCAGTCTGTGGGTCTAATTGGGTACACAGACCAGGCCCCTAGAGCTGGATGATTTGATACCCCTGCTTTAAACTATGCACCATTTAGGTCAGTGATTCTCAACTGCAGTATTGCTTGAACCTGCTACAGTCCCCTCACTGGCTGGCCCACCTTTGAGAAGGCAAATACTCTCCTCTCCCTGTCCTGCACCTGCCCCAGCAAGTACTGCAAGAAGCAGTACTTGCAGTTGCAGCTATGGGGACTGCTGCTCCCGCTGTTGACCTTCCTATGCCCTCCAGCAGCCCCTGTGGTGGCTACCCCCACACTCCCAGTAGTGTGCGCTGCTGCAGACAGGAGGGCACACATGGTAAGAGGGGCTGAGGATCTGGATGATCACTGATGTGTAAGACCCTGCAAGAACAGCTTTGGCAGCCGGGGTTGCCCTTGCCCTCTCCTGTACAAACTGGGGCTAGCAGTGGAAAGAGCAAGGCATGGCAAGATGAGATCCTGGATCAGCTGAATTAGTGGTTCATAACCTTTTTGGCCTCAAGGCACTCCTCCATATCCATACTGCTCTGATCCTGCAAAAGCTGCTTTATATGGCCAAAGGAATTTCTGTGCAAGGAGCAATTTACAATATTGGGCCTTAATGATATGTAAAAGACAAGGTTGTATGTGCATTGGGTTTTGTGTTTTCTGCATCCTTTTCTTCAGTTATTTACTTTTTCTTACTTACAGTGATTCATCAAGTGAATATTCTGACTGGACAGCAGATGCTGGAATTAATCTTCAGCCTCCAAAAAGACAAACCAGACAGGCAGCTCGGAAAATTTGTAGCAGCTCTGATGATGAAAATATCAAGGAGTCTAAAGGAGTGGAAGAGAAAAGGAGGAAACCCAAACAGCCTAGAAAAAAGGTAAACAAGCCCTTTCTTTTCTCTCCCCTCTTCCTCCCATGATGATCTTTCTGGCTCTGTGGGTTTAAATATTTCATAAAATGGTTATGTTTTCAAAGTAAATTCCAGTAACAAGTATACAAAAGAAAGAAGCCTGGGAGATAACACAATAATCACAATTCATTTGAAAGCAGAGTGAGATTTTGAGCATTTAATTTTCTTATGCTATTGTGGCCATGTGTAAGCATTACATATGTTGTGGGAGAGAAGCCTCTTTCTCAGCACAGACAGAGAGCTGTACAAACCTTTAAGACATTTCTTATGGAAGAGAACTGGCTTTTCTGCAAAAAGTTAGATCTTGTACCTATGAGGAGTAGTTTCCTTCTCCCAATCTAAATTGAAAGCCTGTACATTTCTCTTGGGTGAGGAGAACACGTGATATCCCAGAGTTCTCTGCTTTCCCCCCAAGGAAGAGGGGTGGGGAGAGAGAATACCAGTTCCCTGGTAACCTGCTTAGGAATCAGCTGTCCCCGTGGGGTCCCTGTTCTGAAAAATTAAACACTTTTTTGCCAATCAGCTGATTGGCATCAGAGGGGTGCATTTTTCTCCAGCATGAACACTCCTTGCTGTGGCAGAATGTCCACACCTTTGTCTTATGCTGTTCCACACTTTCCAGCAGCTGCCAACTACCACTTGAAAACCTGCCCTCTTCCCAAGCAGAGGAAAGGATAGGCTGTCAATGTAATGGGCTTCCCTAAGGGCAGGGGTGGCCCAGGGAGCCAACCCTCTAGTGCTCCCTGGCTGGAGAGCTTGCCTATGAAGCTGTCCAGCCATGAAGCTGGAATGTGTGTGCATTCTAGCTCTTGGTCTGTTTTTCTACTGGTAAGAATTTCTTACCAGTAGAAATGAACATCTGTACAAGGCCTGTAACGTAGATATGCTAGTTTTGGTAAATCTGTGTTCTTTTGAATTAGGATGTTGCAGAGTCATCTCTTTTCAAAGGGCTTAATGAGGGGGAACATGATATTTACTTCTATGAACCAGGTTTGACACCTTTCTGAATAACTGGGCCATGTGATAGTTCTTTTGTCTGAAAAGTTCCTTGGTTAGTACAGGAAGTATTTTGAAGAATGAAGTGAGCAGGGCAGGAATTTTTGCTCAGCAGTCTTTACTCGTCCAATGTTCCTTGGAGCCATTACCAGCTAGAGTTAAGACAGAGTACTCCTTAATCTGTTTTAATTTGTACTGGGGGCCAGTTCATTTCCCAGTCAGCCCAAGGATTTGGATAGGAGGTAGGAATGATGACTTGATATTGCTGATAGAAGACAAAAATGGCTCTAAACTGAGGATTTTCCAGATTGCTATTTTAAGGATAGTTTTACATAAATCTTTGAGTGAAGCGGTAGAAAAGAAATGTGAGATTAGCATCCACTTAGACTTTTTCTGGCAAACAAAGGAGTGGCTGTAAAGCAGTTATATTAGTTCCCTATTTTTACCTTTACCTTCAAGGGTTTTCTTTTTTTCCAAGCAGATGTTTAACATGTTTTTAAGCTTTTATATGCATATTCAAAATCTGAGTTTCTTCCTTAGGCTGCCATTATACTGGTTAGTGAGAAACAAAGATGTCAACCTTTAAAACATAAAATAAGTTATTTCAGAATTTTCTCTGGTCTTAATATTTAATTAATTCTCTTTTGTAAGGAGTAACTTATATTATGCTCATACATAACTCTTCTGTTCTAAATTTAATGGAATTTAAGAAACCAAGTGGATTACTCTCAATGGAAGGTGAACCCAGTGAAGAGTGGCTTGCCCCCCAGTGGATTTTGGATACCATACCCCGTCGTTCACCCTTCGTCCCACAGATGGGAGATGAGGTATTTTTGTAGCATCCTTTGTGTTCCTAGTTATGTCAGATTTAAAACTGTTGCAAAATAAAACCATTAAATCAGGGAGTTAGTTATAGTGAGCCACGTTCAAAATAGCCCATGTTCTGTTTTTGCAGAAAATGAATACACTACTGCTAGTGCTCCTTTTTCTACACGCATAGCTCCTATTAACAGCCTGTTAACGTTATGGATCTCAAGGGGAAAATAAATCATTCTTCCCCCCTCCCTGCCTGCATACATCTACATGTGTGCATATGGGTGATTTCCCCTTATGATTCCAATTTCAAAAGTCCATGTCTGTCACTTTCTTGGATGCCTAAATAGAGCTTGTGCTGTTAAAAATCAGCAAGAGGAGTTTTCCAACATCTTTGAAACTATCCTGTGGAGTTTAAAAGGGATGATATTTGAAATGTTTATGGAAATTTTTATAATGGGAATTAACTCCAAGATTAGCATGCAATACATTATTTTTTCTTTTAAGATCATCTACTTTAGGCAAGGCCATGAAGCTTATGTGCGGGCAGTAAGGAAGGCCAAAATCTACAGTATTAACATGCAAAAGCAACCATGGAACAAAATGGAACTCAGGGTAAGTTAACCAAATCTGTAAATTACTGTAATAATTACTACATTAAAAGAAAATTTAAAAATTAAAAGCAATGAGAAAGAAAAATGTTTTAAATGTTCATTAGCAAATGTTACAGTTGTAAAGACTTCCTTGTTTATAAAAGATACTAGCAATTAAGTCACTGATAGTAGGAACTTAGAAGGAAGTTGAAATAAATTAACTAGTGTGTTGTCTTCCCTAACAGAAGTGGATGTCGCTAATTTCGAATGTTACCGTGGGTAAAAACAGATGGATTTCTCTGCACAAAGCTGAGGATATTACAAATGTACAGGCTCAGTGTCCCACTCTAAGTACCTGAAAAGTATCTGAGAGAACACTTTTTCCAGGGACAATCCCAGCTAATACAAATTAGTTGCCATTCAAACTGCATATGTAGGTGATGGAAAAATGAATTGTTTGATGTAGGTCAAAGCCTAGGACAATCGGACTGGAATGGGATATCTGTGTTTACCCCTTGTCTTGAATTCAGTCCTATTGAACTAACTGTGCTTAAGAACATGTCAGTTCTTACAATTAGTCACTAGTTTCAAAACTGGATAGTAACAAATAAGCATCCAGTTTTGCAGATACTTTAAAACCTATACAGTGCCCCACAAAAACAATAGAGCTGCTTACATAGGTAAAGCTAGTTTTCCTAAGTTTTTGCAATTTGTTGTTTTTCTACAACTATTTTATAATATAAAATTATCTTACCTAACAATGATTCAGTTACTGGAGTTGTGTAGTTTTACTGGTTTTTGTCGTGATTGTTTTTTTCTTTTTTTCCTGTCCTTGCATTTTGCCATAAATTGTTGCATTAACTGTAGCACAGTTCTTAATCCATGGCATTGTCTCATTTTATTGCTGCTCTTCCATAAATTCTTATCAAAAGACAGAGAAAAATAGAAAAATGAATCTGATATGTAGCCGTAACCACAATTTTGAATGATCTATCTTTCTCTTTATGGGAAATAAAATCCTGTTACTATTATAAGTACTTACTGATTCTACCAACAGTAAAATCTTGTGAACTTGTATGATTATTTTTTATAAAATAAGAAAAATCTTGCCTTACACTGTGTTGAATTAGGAACAAGAATTTGTGAAGACTGTAGGAATTAAATATGAAGTTGGGCCTCCAACGCTCTGCTGCTTGAAGCTTGCATTTCTAGATCCAATCACAGGAAAAATGACTGGAGAATCTTTTTCCATTAAGTGAGTAACTGACTGGCTAAAGTATTTCCTGAAAAAAGCAGAATGTTCTTACAGATAGTCTAGACATGCATTTTTTTCTAATTTTGCAATAGACTTCATCATGTACAGATTCATCATTGCTGCAAAGAACTTGAAATAGTATCTTTAAAACTAAAAAGTTTGCCTACATACTCCTATTACATCTATGTCCATTGCAAATGGCACTTAATTTAGGAGTAATTTATATGCCTATTTTGAATAGGTACCATGATATGCCAGATGTTATTGACTTCCTTGTGCTGCATCAATTTTACAATGAAGCCAAAGAAAGGAACTGGCGGATTGGTAAGTATTGTTTTGCTTCCTCCATGTGTTGTTTGAACTGCATCCAGTATTTATACATGACATAATTCAATCTCAAAATGCGTTCTATTTGCCCACATTTAATGAGAAAAAAATACTTGTTACTGGTGGTTTAATTTTTAAATGTATCACTTCCCTTTCAGGCAGTTTTCTCATAATGTAAAATAGTCCAGGATGATTGTACATTTTTTTTAACTTTTAGTTTCAACTGCCTGATGAAAAGCTTTATGAGATGCTACTCTGTCACTTACACAGTTATGAGTTAAAAATGCCAGCTTATCTTGATAAATAGGTGTATGCCATAACCAACAATATTTAGATGCTATGTTGATAGGAGCCGTAGAAATACCTAGACAGAAGATTGGTCTAGCTTTTGTAGAGCCAGACCGGTCTATAGCAGTGCACTGGTAAGATGACATGTTGGTCTCTATTGAATGATGTGAACAGCACTGAATTATATTTTGCCTCTGGTAGATGTTGAACCTTATAGCATTATGGTGACTGTTGGAAGTACTTGAGATACTCAGTGGTAAGGTGAATGACCCAATGGCAGTAGTGCAAGGGAGAGAGCGATTTCAGAAGAGAAAATAGATAAGTCCAGGGTGAGCAGAGGAATTTACTGCTGGATTGTGGTATGATGTTAGGAAGAATGTGCTGTCAGTCACCAGAAAAGTAAAGTTCCCTAGGGGGTTTTTGGCTCCTGTTTATAGATACTCTACTATGGTATAAGAATCTGTGACTTTACTTAGAGATGCATATTTTTGTAAATTATACATATACTTTAACTTTTTAATAAGACATTGATTATCATTTGTATTACTCTCTATTGCTAAGTTTCACATTTTTATTACAGGGGATAGGTTTCGCAGTATAATAGATGATGCTTGGTGGTTTGGAACTGTGGAGAGTCAGCAGCCTTTCCAGGCAGAATATCCTGATAGTTCCTTCCAGTGCTACTGTGTTCAGTAAGGATTCTTGTAGTAGTTGTATATATCAGCGTGGGTCTATTTTTATGCGTGTTTACATATATCCTTACATTACGTATGGTGGAGGGGGAGAGAACTCTGTTTCTTTACATAAAGGAACAGCCCATCTTTCTCTGTTATCTACCTAATCGTCAAACTTTAATAATGTGATGGATTGCAGTGCAGGAAATAGATTTTTCTAAATGGAATTTGATATTAGTTAGTGATAGACAATTGCACTGAGGTCCTTGTTTTTTATTTATGAGAATTGCCATACTAAATTGGACCAGTGATCTGCTTAATCCCACATCATGTTTTTGGAAGTGGTCAGCACCCTGGGAGAACCCCTCTGGTGGTCAGCTATGAAATAACCTTATACACTGGGGAGTTTTCTCCCCTGTCCTTGCTAGTGGATGTCAGACTTTGAAGCATAAAGCTTTTTTATTTTATTTTACTAAAACCGTCTAATGTAACTGAATCTATTTTCATTTGAAGGCAGATTTTTCCACCCCCCACCAACTCCCTCCCCCAAATTGTAGTCTGCTGTGGCCCAAATTATTTTTGGGCAGTGAGTTCCACAGTTTAATTGTATGTGTTTAAGGTTTTTGTTTTGCTTTCTGTCATTTTTAGCTTGAATTCTTTTTGAGTTTAACTGAATGTCCTCACTCTTCTCAAGCTGTTCTATCTGTAGCTCATCCATTTTTTTGATGTGGGCATATCCCATATTTATTAGTCTCTTCTCTAAAGAATCCCCTTCGTTGCAATTGCTTCTGAAATGGAAGTCTTTCCATGCTGCTGATCATTGTCCTCACCTGTTTCTGGACCCCTTTTATTTCTGCTCTTTCTTGAGAAGGGGTACCAGAGTTGAACCCAATATTCCAGGTGAGGGAGTTCATATGACATGACTATATTTTCAGTATTATTGTTCAGTACATGTTTTGTGCATAGTATTTTGTTTGCCTGGTTTTTTTAAATGCTCATTGCATGTACAGCAAATGAGACTCTATTTTTAAAGATAAAGAATAATGCACATTTAAAAGAATCAGTAGAAGTTCTTCTACCCATTGCTGTGTTCAGTGTTGCCTTCAAAATGAATAATTATAGCTAATTTAAAAACCTGCATTGTTTTTTAATAGCTGAGATTTATCCCTCAAAGTACATTACCCCTTGCATTTGTCAACACTGAATTCATTTCAATGTGCTGCCCATTTGTCCAGTTCTGTTGAATCATTCTAGAGTTCTTTGCAGTTTTTTTTGTTTTGTTTTCAGTTAATACAGTTTTGAGTCAACTGAGTTACCCACTTTATATACTTTATTTTTAGATCACGGCTAAATATATTTTTGAATATACCAGTTCAAATAATAGTTTTTTGAGCCACCTGTCAGATCATTTTTGCCTTGTTGAAAAACAAGCATATCTTTCTACATTTCTTTTTTTGTTAGCCAGTTGTCAAATAAATCAGGATTTTGCTTTGTTTCATGACAGCATACTTTCTTTAATTGCTTCTTGTAAAGGATTTTTTGACAGATAAGTAAAATAAACTTTTTTTTCCTTTCTACTCTTGCTGAATAACTCAGTGTGTGCTGCTTGTTTAGAGAGTCATAGTTTCTTATGTAGTGAAGCTGTTCAGGTTTCTCTATTTCATTTTTGTGACACTAGCCACAGTGGCATGGAAGCACTAAAGGGACCTTCAAAAGTGACCTATGCCTTCTTTTATTCTAACTTTTTCTGATTTGTTTATGCAAAAACTCTTTTAAAAGTAATAAGCTATCTCTCAGTTGCGTTAGTGCTTACAAAAACATTCTCAATTTTTTGTTTAGAAATTACTTTGCCTTAGAATAAATCTCCAAAACACTAGGTTTTATTAACTTTATACAATTTGAGGCAACACATTACAAAGATGTGATCAGTAGGACCCATACACAAACCCTTACTTTTACTACCCAAAGCTTTAGGGAACCTAAGACCCTGTTTGATGACCCAGGCCCACCTCTTATACATTTATGAAAAGGTCACGCTACTGCTGTACTCCTAGTTTCTTGAGAGAAATTGTATAACCCATTGCTCTTTCAATGAACCTTAGTGCCTGTCCCAAGTATTGCACTGTAATTTCTTATCCAGCTAATCTTGTCACAATCAAGGAGATTTGAAAAATAAATATTCCAGTGTATGTATCTGAATGTAATATCTTTTTTTATTTATTTAAATAGCTGGGACAATAATGAAAGAGAGAGGATGAGTCCTTGGGACATGGAACCAATTCCAGAAGGAAGTAATTATGCTTTTGAATTCAATTATAACTTCCATATCTGTACAGATTCTAGAAGTTTGGCACTTGTAGCTCACTGTTTTTTAACTCTTTACATTTCATGTAGCTGCTTATCCAGAAGAGATCGGTGCTGGAGTTCCTGTGACCCCAGAAGAACTAACAGCTCTGCTGTACAAACCCCAAGAAGGAGAATGGGGAGCCCATTCCAGAGATGAAGAATGTGAACGAGTTATTCGGGGGATTGGTCAACTGCTTTCCCTTGGTATGTTGGGCAGAAAAGAAGCTATGGCACTTTGAGGAGGAGAATTGCCTTAAGAAAATAATTGTAAATAGCTTTTCTTATTCTATAAGGTACCTTCCAAAGGTACGTATCTGTTTCTAGTGCTTGATCGTGCTCCCCTTACAGTTAGTAATAATGCCTTATTAACTTGAGTGGGAGCAGATTCTAGTGATTAATGAATAAAATTCTTTTAGGCAAATAGTTAAGCTAATCTCCGTTTTTTTAATTGTTATTTAAATACTATTAACTCAGAAGGAAACTGATTTACAGTTTTGATAGCGGGCTCCTATGCTGCTATGTTTTTGTGAGATGTTGTTTTTCAGCAGTAATGGAGGGCTGAAATGCAGTTTTTAACAAAAAATGCATTTTGAAATGCAGGGAAAATTATATTCATCCCATAGGCATTCAGAACAGTTCATTGACCAGATTTTCTGTTGCTTCAATCATTAATTATTGTTGAATTTCCTTTTATGAGGAATACAGTTCTAACTCTCATGATGTATGAAGCCTCATCTATGGGTTTTTTTCCTCTTGTTTTTAGAAATTGCTAACCCCTTTGCTGTTCCAGTGGATCTTAGTGCCTATCCCATGTATTGCACTGTAGTTGCTTATCCAACTGACCTCAACACAATCAGGAAGAGACTTGAAAACAGATTTTATAGGTCAGTTTGATTATTGGGTTCTAATTTTATGTTTACTATGAATTGTGTTATATATTCCTTTTTAAAACTGGAATGATCTGCTTAGTTCCATGAGCTGCCACCCAATAGATAACTCCAGTGAATACTGTAATTGTAATGTAGTAAATCCCTTCAACATGTGGATAGTATAAGAAACTCTGTACAGCATCTTTGAAGTGTAAGTCTTGATAAACAAAATTTCTCTTTTGATCAGAAGCCAAAAGTAGATTTCTGAATCTTGACTGCTTCCTCCAGCTAAGAGTTTGTACTGTTCTCTTCCTGCGAATATGAGAGAGGGTGGATTGACTTAACCACCTCTCTTCTGCTTTTGTGCCAGATTCTTTGTCTTCTGTACAGCAAGCACAAATGATTTAGTATTATTGCATTGAAACCTGTAGCATCTCAGTTTTTATGATCTATGTAGGGATAGACATGGAATGCTTCCTTTTCTAGCACCTGGTGCTTTCCCTGAGAGATCAAAAATTTATCAATTTTCCATTCCAGGAATGGGATCACTTAGTGAATTCCGTTGCTGTGCTTGTTTCTACTGTGTGTTCTATACCAACCTGGCTGAATCTTTAGGTATCAAAGGACCAACTAGATGGAGGCCTAGTGCCTTACCATATGAGGTAACCTGCCTTTTACTGGAGCTAGGCTAACAGGGGCTTCTTCTTTTCTAGCTAAGTTTCATAGACACAGAAGGAAAGCTAACATAATATTTTCCCTTTCAGGAGAATCTCAGCGTTGATGTGGGAGGTACGATACATTGAACACAATGCTAGGACTTTCAATGAGCCAGATAGTCCTATAGTTAAAGCAGCCAAAATTGTAACAGATGTCTTATTACGCTTTATTGGGTGAGCACTTTTTGTTTCTTTATAGTCCGATATTTCTGAGTTTCAAAAAAAATTCTCAAGTTAATTTTGAATTTTCCTTTTTCCAAAGGGATCAGAGTTGTACTGATATATTGGAACTATATAACAAAGTGAAAGCAGAAGACCTAAGCAGTACAGATGAAGAAGAGGAGGTAAGAGCAGTAATATAATCACCAGAACTTAGTGTACTCTATTCAGTGGCTGGAAGGAATGAGTAAAGAGTTTAGTAGGTATTTTTAAGTATCACTTTGGCTTTTGATGCAAGATTGTTTATGATATGAAGTGGTATGGCAAGTATTGGGCAATATACTCTTCTCATTTAGTAAAACATTATTTGAAGCTGGTTGGTCATTGGATTTTATCTGATTGCATGAAGTTTTATTCTCATAGAGACAGGAAATGCTAATGAGAAGGGAGAGGAGGGAATAAAATGGATACTTGTAATATTACATTGTTCATATTTTCAGTCTTCCCAACCTTCAAAGTGGCACCATAATGGATTTTGTCCACTTCCTGGATTGGCTAATAAAATTGCTTCAGGGTTAAAAATTATTTCCCTTTTTATCCTTTCTAAAAAGTGCAGTTTCTAAGACTATTGTATATGGGTGCATCGATAAAGATTTTCTTGCCCAGTGCTGATAGCCAATGATTAACCAGGTATATTAACCGATGCTGATCCGATTAACCTATATTTAGTAATAGGGCACAGCAGTTTTAACTACTGACATAAATAAAACCTTTTTTTTGTTTGCTCTGTTTGCATTTAACACTCACTCACTCACTCACTCCTGCCTGCTCTGGCCCTCAATGAGGAAGGTAGTGACCACCTTTTCCCCATGCATGTCACTCCCTTGCCCATAGCTCCTACCTGCAGCCCTGCTCTCCATGCTGCCATCCTGGGCGGGTGGGGTGCGGCCTCTTGTGCATCAATGGTGCTGGGCACGTTTGGAGCCCCCAGAGCATGCCATTGCCTCAGTACTGGCAGGCCCCACGAAGACACTTTTGCAAAGGTGCCTGGTGCCTGACAGAATGGAGTGTCACTTGCACAGCGCTTTATCCTATCTGCACACAGCCCAAGATCTTCATGGCAGCCCTGGCTCTTGGGCCCTTGCTGCACTTGCAATCTTGCCACGGCAGTGGTGGCAGCAGCAGGAGCTGGTAATAGGGGTGCACTGATAGAGATTCTGGGAGCTGATACCGATAGCCCATTTTTAAGGACCATATTGGTCCACCTGCCCCTGCCCCCTCCCTCCCTTACTGTGAGGGGTGTTGATCTGCCTCCCCCACGTCCCTTCCCTCCCCTTCCACCACAACGGACTTAACAGCTGCACGCAGCTCTCCATGCTGCTGGGCTCTGCTCCTCGCTGCCTGCGTGCTGCAGGCAACCAATATATCAGTGCACCCCTAATATTGTAATTGTTTTCACATCTTTGAATGAAAACGGATTGCTATCTGAGTGTCTGTAACAAATGAATAAACTTCACACATCATTCACAGCTTTTTATAATAGGACAGAATACATGCAGTAACATAACAACTCCATGTGAAGGAAACACAAGATTTGTTTTTACTCTTGCCTTAATCGTTGTTGCAGTGAACTGAAATTTAATACTTCCTGAAGGGGGAAACCCCCAGTGTCCAAACAGAGCCCATATTAACTTCCGAGGTACTTCATGTATTGTCATCTTAGATCCCGAACCTGCAAGGTTTAGGTTTGTGTGTCCAAACTGTAATTTCTTAATACTAAAATTAAGAAAATCAGTACCCCTTTAATGCCAAATTTAGGGTTCTCTGTGCTCTTTTATGACCTCATGAACACCTTTTGAAATACAAGAAACAGAGTTTCATGAGTTGGTCTAAGGAAAGTGTGACCCTCAAGTAACACTTAACTGTTTTGTTTTAATTTTGCTTTAATTCTACATGCTGTCACTTGTGATTGAATGTAATCATTACCCTTTCCTATAGGTGGCAGAAGTAGATGTAGATTCAGATGCTCCTGGAACCTCCTCTGGGAAAAGACGAGTGAGTAAATAATTTCTGTAGGGTTTATTTTATTTATGAGGAAGGATGTGAAATGGTACTCGGAATTAACTACACTTTTTTAGGTCTTGAAAGGCTTAGCTGTACACATACTGCAGTCACTGGGACTGTCTGAATGCATTACATTAAACATGCAGAATCAGGTCTTCATTTTGGTATGGAAAGTAATGAGATTGCTCAGTAGTGGTTACTCTCCTGATTCTTGGGCATCTATAACAGAGTATTAATCCAGTTTTCTATCTCCTTGTGTTTTGTCAGTCAGAAGATGATGAAAGTGGACAAAAATAGAAATGTTTTACTATATAAATATATGGTTTCTGTACTAATGGCCAGAAGAGGTTGTTCATATTAATCTTAACTATTAATGCTTACTCATTAATTATCATGGGAAGCACTGTAAATATCTCTTAAGATGACAAGGCATTCTGGTGTTTCTGAAAAAAAAAAAAAGCTCTGACCCAGCCCTCCTGTACATGAAGTTATGTATGGGTTAAAGTTTGAGCACATTATTAGAACAAAGAATATATTTACATTATATTTTATACTCCATACTGCTGTACTGTAAACAGAGTGTTCTATTTATTTTTTTTAATATTTTAAATTATGGACTTAAGTTTTGAAGTATGACTTGAGCAAAATGGATAGCAATTTTAGGCCAAAGCCAATAGGGAAATCTATATATTCTAAAAGGTAATGAAATAAAGCTTTTGTTTTGTTTCCTTTAAAATCTTCAGGTAAGACGGCCGATAAAAAGGCAACGTGTCAAAGCAAGCCCTGATGCTTGGAAAGAGCAATGCAAGCAGTTGTTAAGCTTAATTTATGAACGTGAAGACTCTGAGCCTTTTAGGCAGCCAGTTGATCTCTTCTCCTATCCCGTAAGTGTACTTCTTATTTCTATAACTTAAAAAGAGTTCTTAGTGTAATATTTCAGTCATAAGAATTCATATTCACCACATTGCTGGGCATGTCACTGAACTTTGATTTCCCAGTCAGTCTGTCTTCTTTCACAAACAAATTTATTTGCTCTGAAAAAGTAAAAGAATAATAGCCTGGGATTGAGTCTAGGGTCAGTACAGACTGGAAATATGACCTGTCCCCCAATAATGCTCTGCCACTGTACTTCAGTCTTGCTTCATACCTTTGTACTGTCCTTAATCCCAGTTTCTTAAGTGAAAACTGCAAGAGACATCCTATTAGTGGTGCTGAGTGCAGAGGACGTGGATTAACCTGTTAAACTCATTTGCAGCTGTGATGAAATATGAACTCTAGAGCCTGTAAGTGTAACTCTTATAGCTAGAAAATTAAAATTAAGTAAAAAAAATAGAAGCTATAGAATAGTCTGATTATTAGAGGGTTAGGGTAATTTGAGAGGAAATTGACTAAATGGGGTTGAATTAAAATGGGTAATATTTACTTATCGTCCGTTCCTATCAGTTGACTATAACTGCACCTAATTGTTAATATATTTTTTAACATTATTCTCTTAGGACTACCGAGATATTGTAGACACTCCTATGGACTTCAGCACTGTGAAAGAAACTTTGGAAGCTGGAAATTATACGAGTCCTCTGGAATTTTACAAGGATATTCGCTTAATATTCTGCAATTCAAAAGCTTACACTCCAAATAAAAAGTCACGGGTAAGTGATACAGATCTTGTCCTCCTTTGAGTGATTCTATATGCTGTGGGTGTGCATGCACCTCAGACACTCAGTAGGAGACGTTTTGCCATAACAGCATGGCTCACAATAGCCCCAAACCTTTCTTAAGTTTTGCATCAAAGAGCAAGAGGGCAGCGCATGCTTCCTGCTCTTTGGTTCTTCTCAGCCAACTCAGCACCTGACATAGCACTTAACATCAGCTTGTGTTTACAGCCAACAAGCTTGCTTGAAGCCTTCCTTAGAAACACTTCTTTCCATTGTTTTTCTCTCTGCAGTTATTTCAGTTGAAGTTTAGCACCCTTTTGTGTGTGAAGAATTCTGGTAATCCCCGTATGACTGAGATAATTTTGACATAAGTACTCTCAGATGCAGGATAGAGGGAGCTTGCTTCACCCAGACCTTCGTGTACAGTCTAGGTGCTGGATGACTCTAAAGCAAAGGGCTCTGCCTGAGTAAGGAACATCATTATTCACAGCAAAAATGTGAGCTGTGGTTCTGAAGTTCAGCACTGAGGTCTTTGTGCCAGCCAGGCTACATGCTTATCATATTGTGGCTGAAAAGGATGTACTAGTTTCTTTCATACAAGAAGTGCATAAGCAGGACATCTGAGATCTCTGGTTTTCAGCTTGCTGATTTGACACTGAGTCAACACCACAGGTTTGCTTCCTTGTGTTAAGTCACAGGTGTCAGTCTTTAAGACAGCAGCTTCATCTGATCTAGAATACACTGGGTCCTTGCGGTTTTTTCTGCACTTCCTGTTCTCATCAGAGAGTTGCCTCTGGTTTTTCCAGTCTAGACATCACCAATAGTTTGAAATTTTCACAGAAGACTTTAACAGACTTTGCAGCCAGTTTACCACCCTCCCCTTGTTTTGAGTTCTTGCATTCTGCAGTCCTATTGTTGGAGTTTCAGTGTAAGCCACCCCTCAAGACTGTTGGAACTTAGAATTAAGGTTGGGATAAAAAAGTGAACATCTCCCTCAAGGATTTAAAACTGATTTAAAATGAGATTGTCAGTGACTGGAATTTCAGGCTGGACAGGGTATACCAGTGGAGGTCACGTGAGATTCAGGAAGAGGTCAGTTTCTTGCATTCAAACCAGAAGCATCGGCAAATACTGAATTGTCTAATATGGGGTGCTTGGCCTCTGGCACCAGATCATCTGGCTCATGGGGTCTGAAAATTTGGCAGTGGGGAGGTGGTGACACTCCTCTGCTGCTAAATTTTTGGACCCATGAAGTGCCCTGCAGCTGGATAGCATGCTGGATAACATGGCCCTGATGCTTCCAGAGCCTGTTCCTGGCAGGCACGGATGGCACAGAGCTCTGGGACCCAACCTGAGTATATGGATCCTGGCAGAGCCAGTGCAGGACCTAATCTAGCCCACAGACCTGCTCTGCATTGATCATCTGGCCCACAGGACCAGAAGATTGGGCACCACTGGTTGAACCAGCAGTTCATGTGTTTACCCGGATTTATTTTGAGACTGGAGATTAATAAAAGTAATTGATATGGATTGAGGCCCCGATTCAACCTGTCAAATTTTGTGAACTGAAAAAACCTATCAGGAGCCTTTCATTCTGAACATCTTGCTTCTGCTGGCCCACATTGCTTAGGCTCTCTTGTATTATGCCTTTCTTCTAGCTGGAGTCTACATTTGTAGAAGGCAGCAAATATAGTCACCAGCCTCAAATATTAAACTGGGATTACCCTTGTAGCTATAACCAAATTTTCCTGCTCTCTAAACCATTTAAACTCGGTATGTGATTTCTGGAAGAATTAAACTAATGGCAGAAAACCTTTTGCTGAATGAGTAAGCCAGCTCCTGCCTGTACTGTTTCATTGAAGACCCACTATTATCTGCAGTAGATTACACTAGCAATCAGTTTTCGAAGCAAAGGAAGAACGTGGGGCAATTTATTGCAGTTTATAATCCAGCATAGTAACATGGTTTGGTATTGAAGCTCTGATAATTACTCACAGGTTCATCATCTTATGCGCTACATAGAGGAGTGTAACAGGGGGCCTTCTCGGGGCCGACTTCCTAGTGGCCCGCCCACCTGTTTCTGGGCTAACTGCCTGCATTCTCACCTGCCACGCCTTGTTGTTAATTAATTAGTTAAAGATGTAATTAAGCAGGAGGCTGCCCATTTCCTGTCCCGATGCTATCTGCTGCTCCATTCCTCCCCTACATCACAGCCCAAGCCTTGCAGATGGCATCTAGGTGTTATTATAAATCACCGGCCCCCACTCTGGGCCCCAGAATCCTCCTAATTGAACTCCACCTGGATTCCTCTCATCAGGCAGTCTCATCCGCCTTCATACTAGGCCACATAGCTTCCTGAACCG